CAATTTAGTGAGGCCCTCCACAACTCAGTGAGACCCTGTCTCTAAATAAAACATAAAAAGGTCTGGGGATGTGGCTCAGTGGTTAAGTAACCCTGGGTTCAATCCCTGGTACAAAAGGAAAAAAAAAAAAATCTCCAAATTGTTATAAAGTTGTTTTTTCTCCAAGTGAAACATACACATATTAATATATTTTCATATTTCTTAGATTTTATATATTCCTGATCGTTCGTAATAAATGAGATCTTCAATTATAGTTCTAAGTGATGGGGCTTTAGTTTTGTTTTGTTTTGACTGGTAGTTTTTTTTTTTTAACCCCAAGATAAATTCAAAAGGTTTATGGCACCAAATGCCACAGAAAAATTGATCCAACTAATACATGAACAAGTTTTTCAGAAAAATTTTCCACGTGTTGACATTGGAATCTATTCAGCTCATCAAAATCATAAAGTCCTATCAATTTCTCTTAACGGACTTTCAATAACAATCCCCAGAATTTTCTCCTTATCTACCTCAAATTTAAGCATATTGCAATCTCACTTCCTAGATCTATGGTTCATCAAATTTCGACATTTAAAAATGAACATTCAGGGGCTGGGGCCGTAGCCCAGTGGTGGGGTGCTTGCCTGGCATGCGCAAGGCACAGGGTTCAACCGATCCTCGGCACCACATAAAAGTAAATAAGTAAAAATAAAGATATTGTGCCCATCTAAAAATACATTTTTTTAAAAAAACTTAACATTCAGAGGGGATGTTTGATTTAAGCAGAAATTATATTAAAATATCCCCTCAAGTAGAATTAAACAAAACAAATGGTTCGCATTAACTAAGAGAAGCAAAGACTTTTTTCATTTAATGGTGAAAATATGCAAGAATGAAATGCTCTCAAAAGTACAAATTAGTGGAAAAAATCAGACATTTAAAAGAATTTGGGGGGTCACTTTATATTTTTTTATATACAAGTAACTAGTGAAAATACATGAATTTGCATGTCGTCCTTGAACAGGGGCCATGGTAATCTTCTCTGTGTCATTCCGATTTTAGTATAAGGGCTGCCGAAGCGAGCACTGGTGGGGGATTGACCCCATGGGCAGTTTACCACGGAGCTATACCCCCAGAACTTCTCATTTTTTATTTTGAGGTAGGATTCTGCTAAGTTACCGAGGCTGGCCTCCAAATTGAGTTCCTCTTGCCTTGTCCTCCCGAGTTGCTGGGATCATAGGTGGGTGCCACTGTTGCCAAAAGCTCCGTCTTTGTTCCCCAATGCCAATCCGATAACGAGGACATGGTTTTGAGAAAAAGGAAAAAGAAGGTTTATTGCTTGGTTAGCAAAGGAGAAACACAGAGGACTCCTGTCCCAAAGGCTGTGACTCTGCTCATCAGCAGGAACAGGGGGCTTTTAAAGAGGTGATTCAGAGAAAATGAGATTAGGGAGCAGAGATTAGGGAGAAGATCAGGGAAAAGAAGATCAGGGAGGAGAAGGTCAGGGAGAAGTTGAGGGAAAAGAAAAAAACCTGTAAGTTTCAAAGCCCCCAGGGATCTAGTCAAAGCAGCAAATGAACTCCTGTCCCACCACCAGCTATGTAGAAGAGAACGGTTAAAAAAACAAACAAAAACCCCCAGTAACTTTGTAACTTTGTATCTAGTCACTTTCATATTGTTGG